TTGCTTCCATAATAAATAGAATCTTCAGTACCATTAAGTTTATTCTATCAAAGATTAACCCCAGATCAGTGTAGTTTGGTAATCAGTTTAAATGTTATACTGGATTGATTTGTTCCCTCAGCTGTGCCAATATTCTATTGTGGTAGTCAGCAGCTAAACTGTTCCCCTAGGCAATGGAGAGTTCCACCTTTGACCCATCTGATTTAATTGTGGAGAATGTGTTCAGTGGCCCTAAGCAAGACCATGTGTGTCTCTTTCCTTTTTCATCAATTCTCTAGCTTCCTCGAGTGAGTGAGAATGAAGGAATAAGAATGATAAGAATGGCAGAAGTGTGTGTGTGTGCGTGTGTGTGTGTGTGGTTTGAGTGTATGCGCATAAGCATAAACCCAGTTGTTTGTCTAAGAAAGATTTTTTTAAAAAAAATCATATTTGGCATCTCAGTCTGTTGAGGCACTGACATCTCTCCCTTTCTCTCTCTGTCTGTCTTCTATATTTTTTTCCGGTCTCCCTGTTTTTGTTCCTTTAATTCAGGAACAGTAGTAGTACTGCGGTAGTGTAGCATTGTACCTTGTCTAACACACTTGATTCATCTAATCAACTCATTAAAAAATCCTCACATGCTGAATTTAGTCTGTTAGATGAGGTGAAAACACTTTGTAGGGCTGTAGACTTCCAGGATCTGAGTCTGAGCTTCTGTTTTAATGCCATGACAAGTGGCAACTGGATGGTAGAATAATTTATTAGAATAGAATTATATATTTAACTAGTTTGTGTTTGCAAAATTTTAAACATTAGTACAAATATTACTAATGGACAATGTGATGAATGGCTTTTGAAATGCCCCACTTTAGTTTAGTCATGACTTACACAGCCTTCTTGTTCCCCAATTGTATGATTATGATTTATGATTTATGAATGTTATGGTTACATATGTGAAACATTCAACATGCAAAGTAGGTCAGTATGTGTAATATACAGTGTACTACAATTGTCTTATCTCTGATGAAGAGTAACACTATAGAGCATTACCTAAACAGTATTTGAATTTTATTTAAAAGAATTAATATCAAAATGTATATAAAACTATAATATGAGACACGTAGTATTAGTACGTGGTATCTGTGCTTTCAGAAGTCTGCAGAAGTCACCTGATGCCACATAGAAGCTACAGGTATAGCATTTCGCCACTAATATGATGTGAATTTAGATGACTAATTCATGCTCACTAATTTGCATAACATGGGCATTTTTATAATTTATCACAGTTTATAATGCATTTATTAGTCATAAAACACATCCCCAATTATGAATTATGAAGTGTTGATGATTAAAGTCTAATTCATAGTTAATGTAACTTTTAAACTTTGTTCATCAATTCTGAATATGGCCTACAGAGGAAGCAACTTTTTGCCCTAAACTGTATGAACTTGCATTAACACAAATATGAACACATCTGCATGAGAAGAGAGGCGGAAAAAAGATGCTGTCTTGGAAACAACACATGCACACACACATGCACAATGGAATGACCCTGTGATTCCTCTTTTTATTTGGTTGAAATTCTTTAAAAAGCTGCAGTTTCAGTGAACCTTTTATGACAGGGTCCCCCTTTTCAGTGGTGAGCTTTTGATGCTGTATAAAAGAGAAACTCATGAATATGACTCTTGCTCCTGAGTTTTAAATTCAGCTTAGCTTTCACATTTCATAATGAAAGTACACCTACAGTTCTGGTGCCTTAATTAGGATATTGATTATGCTTTGATTGATTAAGACGTTTCATTGTCTTTAAATGTAGTATGGCTCCAGCAATCAAATCATGAGCCTCATCCCCTATACTCATATAAATCTAAGCTACCGTCCCTGTCCATTAAGGTGCTCTAAGCTTGCCTCTTCCCTTAGACAGGTGAAGTGATTACCTGTCAGGTCTAGAAACACAGAGCGAAATACTATTAGTGGTTATACCCAACTGTGCTCATATGTTCATGTCCATAGCAAACATTCATTAATCGGCGTGTGAAATATGAGTGGAGCAGCTTCATATAGCCTCTAAAGCTGTGGATGACTGATTTATTGATTGTGTGTGGTAGATATCCACTCTGCCACATCCATGCACGTTGTAATGTTATTGCTAGTCATTAATCAGAGGTGACAGAAACAAACTGCACCAAAGCACCGTTTACACTCAAGTCAAGCCAGCGATAGGGAAACAGAGAAACACAGAAATAGATGGAAAAGAATGAAGGAGGAAAGCTGAAGACATGGGTCAGACGGAAAAGGAAGTGCAGTCATGGGGCAGTGGTCTGGCTATGATAAAGTGCTTCTGTCTGGAAAGTGAAAGGAAAATCAAAGCCTGGAAATGTAACAACTTTTTCTTTGTGTCTCACTTAGAAGGATGGCTTTGCAGCAGTAGCGTACAAAGAGGATTTTACCCCCTTTCACTGTAAGAAACTGTGTAGGATGAGATGATGAAACAAGCGCATTGATCTTTGCTCTATGCTGTGAGAAGAGGTTTCTTTGATTCCAAACGAGATTTCGTTTAGATTCAGACATTGCTGATAATTCATGCACAGCAGTTTGACACATAGGAGAACTATCTGACCCCCTTCCCACAGCTGTTTAGTACATAAGATCAAACACATGTAAATAGATTTGAGCTAGTTCTCATTTATATGGCTCTACTTACAGATTTATAAATGTATGCATTCCAGAAAGTGCTGCAGTATTAAAAGAGAGAGGAAACATACTTTACATATTTTTGTGACTAAAGGAACGGCAACACTATATTTATCACATTTGTCTATCCTCCTAACTTTTTTTTTCATTTTCAAGCATGTGACAGATGAAAAGAAAGAGGATTTCTCCAGTTTGTGCAGTTTTGCCAGAATGCACATTTTCATAATATCTCACCTACATCACCCTTTTCTGTATGTCAGCTTTCATCTTTTTAGTCATTCAGCTTTGGTGGTGTGTGAGTGGGAACATGTGGGTGTTTGCTCCATCATGTTTACGTAACTACTAGACTTTAATGAAATATACATTATTTACCTGGAGCATTAAGGGTGATAAGTTTCTCACACACTGATTTACATTTGAATGTTTTACACTTCATGTCTTAGTCGATAAAATTTGATTCAGTGTGAGAAAAAAGTGGAATTGACTGAATTTTTTAACTGATAGTGCTATACTCTGAATGATGGTGTGTGTAGGGTGAAGCCATAGCAAACATCTTAATGTTTGAAGTATTCAATTATTGCAAATATGAGGGAGTTTGCATCAGATTGTGTGTTTATGTATAGTTACTGTCTGTGTTGAGGTTATGTAAGGCTGGTACTGCAGTCCAAAAGCAGCAGAATAGAGGGGGAGGGAAGAAGAGTAGGAACTCGTGAAGGATGTGTAATTAATTTAATGACATGCTGACTGAGCGTTCCATGTTCTGACCTGAGTTCAAGTTGTTCTTGATCTCCTTGGCTGAAGAATAAATGCACTTGTCAATCAATGCCCAACACTGTGACCTGAGAGGTGGCCCCATCATGTCATTCAGAGATCCTGTGCACCAGGCAGAGAGTAGCACAGCCGTTCAACAACCAGTGAGGTAGAAAGGGGCGCGAAAAATGCAGGTCATAGCATAACGGATCAGAGGAGAGGGAGCAGGTGTGCACTATATAGAACACTAGCCTCTGCTGCTTTGGTGAAAATTAAACCTTTGTAACATTTCCTTATTCTGGCACTCCATCAAAACAGAAAGCCTAAATGCTGTCCTGGAACACACACAATTACCAGCAACTCCCACACTCAGCAAGGTGAGGTTTTATATATATATATATATATATATATATATATATATATATATATATATATATGCCAATGGAACTGGTTCTCTTGTATTTATTGATGATGTGACTGCTGACAAAAGCAGCAGGATGAATTCTGAAGTGTTTCGGGCAATATTATCTGCTCATATTCAGCCAAATGCTTCAGAACTCATTGGACGGCGCTTCACAGTGCAGATGGACAATGACCCAAAGCATACTGCAAAAGCAACAAAAGAGTTTTTGAAG